GGCGGCGTTCCGCGCTCGCCCAAGCGGGCAGGAGCCCCGCGCGCCTCCCGCTCCCCGCGGCGCCGGGTGTTTCTGTTTCGGATCCTCCGCTGTGCTTGGAAACCCGGTGATTTACGGACTCTTCCCGACCTCCTCTGGTGCCGCGCGGCGTTATTAACTCCACAAGCGCGCATCGAGCGGAGGATTTATGGGAAGCGAGCAGGCATTAATTACCGGGAATCCACAGGCTTTACTCTTATATGGCCTCTGCTGCGGCTGGCGGCTGCGTTAGCACGTGCTGAGCCCCGCGATCAATCCCGCGAGCTCCAAATTCCCAACCCGGGGGGGAAAAGGGGGGCAGTGAGGGCTCGGGAGCCGGGACACGGCCCCGGATGGATCCGAGGACCCCAAGGCGTGAGCGAGCGCGGGCAGATGCCGTTTCCAAACGCTCACCGCGACGCAGCCGTGATTAATTCCTCCTAGGCGTCACTGGGGCCGCGTCGCGGAATGACTGATATAAACAGATATTACTGGAAAAAAAACAGATGAGCTTTTTTGCTGAGTGTCTGGCTAAATTTGTACTGCGTGGGAAGAGCCCCTTGAACCGCGGGACAATGACATTTGTGCTTGCTCCGCGTGAGCTTCGCTCAGCGGTCCCGCTGGATGGGCCGGGATATTCGGAGCTCCGGGCTTGCTGGTGGGGACAAAATGCACAGGAACGTCCCGTTTTCTGCAGCAGGGCGGTCAGGGCTGGCAGCCCTTGGCCTCTGCAGGAGAACGGTGCTGAGCTCGGTGTTCCATCCCGGCAGGAGTCTGTAAAACACGAGGCTCCTTCATGGGATGCCAGCGCGGCAAAGCCCCCATTCCAGGGGCGATTCCCTCAAATTCAACCAAACGACAGTAAAAAAAACAGCAGCGGGAGAAAACCCAATGCTTCTCCAAAGCAGGGGCACCCCGCACGCTTCGGAATCGCCTCCGGAGCCGGGAGATAGGAAAATGCCAGGGCAGACCCATGCCCGTAAGGGGCTTTGGTGACTCGTCCCCGCTGCCGTGCGGCTCCGGCTGCCACGTGCATCCTCCCGGCCCCGACGGCGGCTCCGTGCCTGCCTCCCACGGATCTCCCGTAAACAAGGGAATCCCGCCGGGGGCGTCAG